CATTAATTATTAACATGTTTTTATAATTAAAATACATGACAGTACTTTAATAAAAATGTGAAAAATGCATAAATGGAAAAATAAGAATGCAAAATGTGCAATTCAAAGATATAAAAAGTAAAAATACAAAATGAAAATGCACAGATACAAAATGTAAATGCATGTATGAAAAGGTGTTACTTTAGAGTGATCATCTTAGAACAGATTTCATTGAACACAAAAGCTTCAGTACATCAAACAACACTTTTACATGTAAGGAACAACTTTTAATCCTAACTTCAACAAAACTTTACATATAGGGAATAACTTTCCCATTTTCTTCTCTAAAACCAAGTTAGTTTATCAGCTTATGGGCCATATTACTTGTCTGGACTGCAGCTTCTTCCATGACATTCTGGTGTTATTTCATCTCCTATGTCAATTCTCGGAGTTGCTCATTTTCCCTTGTGAGAGAACATTTGTGTTCAAAAAGTTTTTGGAGAAGATCTTCATGTATGTTGCAACTCTTTTTCAATTTGGTAACCCCTGATATCCATTCTTCTGGGGTATTTCCTATACCAGCATTTTGAAAGGCTTGACTGACCTTCTGGAAATCTTCATGTATGGTTTCCATTTTGGTGTTCAATTTATCATTTTCAATCTTCAAATGACGTATTTGAGCTTCAAACCTCAGCAAATCTTCTTCTCTCTGGGCGCCTCTACTGATATTCTTACCTTTGAAGACTTTTGGTATTAATCTATCAGGACCCTTAGTTACCAAACTAGGTCGATCATTTACCATAAATTGTAAAGTTCCATGATCCAAAAGACTTTGGACTCGGCGTTTGAAGGCAAGACAATTCTCGATGGTATGTCCTTGAGCTCCGGCATGATATTCACAATGAACGTTGATGTCATACCAATTTGGATACGGAGGTTGGAATGGTTTTATATAATATGGATCTACTTCTCGTGCTTCAAGTAACTTTTCATACAACTTTTTATATGATATGGGGATAGTATCAAGATGAGAACCACCTTTTGTCTTAGATTGAACCTGAATTTTAAATGTCGGGAGCAGACCAAACTTTGATGATTTCTGATTACATGATTTCTTCTCTTTTCTGGGAACTTGTACAGTCGTCACCATTTCTTTGGTATCTCCAAACGATTTGTGAATACGAATGATGACTGTATTTAATTTCTCAAATTGGTTAAGAATCGAAGTCCCTTGTGTATCTGAAACTGCAGGGTTATGTTCATTGAGCTCTCTCTCTTTCTGTGTAGGAATCTCTTTTCCTTTGGCCAAAACAGATGTTCTATCCATCATCTTGGTCATCTGCTCTCTTATTTCTCGTATCTCCTTTTGCTCTTCAATGGGCATACAATCTTTGGGTGAATAGCTCTTCTCTATCTTCAAAATTCCCTCAGGATGTCTTTTCTTGGCCGCATCATATTTTGTTTGATCATAGAACTTTTTGTCCATTTACGATTTCTTTCCAATATGATGAACAGTCTTTCAAGTAAACACCTTTTGGTCATGATCATGCAATGCAAACAAAAGAAAATAATTTAAACAAATTAGAGCAAAAATAACATACATGGGAAAATAAAAAAAATAAAATAAAATAAATCCTAACCTCATGCTTTCTAGTTCCATGCTTTGTTTGGAAAAATTAACCTAACCGCATGATTTCTAGTTCGCATGCATTTATTCAGGGAGAGAAAAAAAAAATAATAATAAATTAAAATCTAGAGCTTATTTTTCCTTTGTGTACACCTATGAACAGAGGTTCAGTACTGTCTTAGATTAGGTGAATTTCTAGGGTTTATTATATGCAGAGTTTCAGTTCTAGGAGTAAAGGTACTCGAATTGTCCTTGTTGATGCCCCCTTGAGCTGTCAAACCTCAATCCTAGTCCATTACAGACTTAAGCGGATCGAGTTCAATTCGAGGGGATACATTTCTCTATGACTAACACGGAGAATAAATTCTCACGAAGACATAGAGCATATGAACCCCAAAAGTTACTTGCTAGGTCTGACACGGAGAATAAATTCTCACGAAGACGTCGCTTTCACTCCCACTTAAAAGGGACAAGCTCAATTATAGAGCTTTATGTTATGCAATGCAAGTGTTGTGTGTGAGGAGAAATATTCAAACCTCTAACAGATAAATAAAATAATTAATACCTGAATAAAAAAACAATATTAATATAAAAATAATAAATAATAAAAATTTGAAAGAAAAGAATTAAAAATTAAATAAATGAATTTTTAATTTCTAATTAATAGAGACAATTTATAATTGATTTTAAAGTTTGACATGTTCCCAGTGGAGTCGCCAAGCTGTCGTAACTGGTTTTCGTCCGGGCACGAAATATTCATTTGGCGGTGAAATTGATGTGAATAAATGGTTTTGAAAATAATTTAGGAGTCGCCATCGGCCTTTTGGGTCAGGTAGGTCGAATACCTAAAAAATATCTTTTAAAAGAGTTTTTAAGAAAACATCAATTAAAAGATAAACTGATCTGCGTTTTAACCAAAAATTCGTTCTTTTTAATAATAAAAAGGGATTCGTGGTCGGTTACGTTTAGGGAAGGATTAGCACCCCTACAACGCCCAAAATTGGTACTTTTTAATTATAAATTGTCTCTATTATTAGAAATTAAAAATTCAAAATGTATTTAATTCATAATCCTATTTGATTTAAATTTATTATTATAATTTTAAGAAAATATATATTAATATATCTTTATTTATTTACTCAGAAATATCAGAAAAGGGCTTCTAGTTGCTTTAAGACAGCTCCTTTCTTAATATTAATAAATAAATACATATCAAAATATGTTTATTTTTCTTAAAAGTAGTTTATAAAATTAAATTTATAAATAGGATTTTTATTTAATAAACAAATAGAATAAATAAATATTTATATATATTTATATAACTTAATAATAAAAATAAAATAATCATGAAGATAATAATTTAAACATACATCAAAAGTAATAACAAAATAAAATAATAATAATTAAAATGAAAGAAAATAAAAGTAATAACATTAAAACTATTGGATCATATTCATAAATATATGAACTTAAAATGTAAAAATAATAAAACTTATGGTTAAAATTAAGATTATATATAATTTAATGATCAAATTATAAAATATAAATATGTAAGAGACATGGTTAGAGTTATCATAAAATATAAATATTAGTAGTGTAATTAGCCATTAATTATTTAATCAGTGATTAAAATAGTAATATTAAAATTATTAGGGACTAAATGTGATATTTATCATAAATATATTATTTAATACTTGTAAGGACTAAAACATAATAAAATAAAATTCAAAGACTGAATTAAAATGTTCAGAAATTAATTTCAGTGACTAAAATGAATAATTATAAAACTTGGATGGCTACGGAAATGGTTTAGCCATGCGCGAAATTACAGATATACCCTCCCCAAAACGACGTCGTTTGGGAGAGGGTATAAGTATCCGAAACCAGCTGGCCCGAAGGGCCAACCCCTCATTTCTTTTTCTCTCCTCTCTCTCTAACTGAGAGAGTAAATATTCTCTCTCGCCTCTCTCTTCAAATCCCTCATCGGAGGGATTAGAGTTCTGGCCGGCCACCGTGCTCCGGTGCCGACCACCGCCGCCGGCCACCGCTCTCGGTGGTCGGGAAATTTTAATTTTTTACCAAAACATAGATCGGGCCGTCCTAATGACGGATCCGGTGACCGTTTTCCTTAAAAAGCTCCTGATCGGAGCAAATCCGTGAAAATACCTTCGGGTTTTGGTTGTTTCCGGCGACGGTTGGGGTTCTTTGATGACAAAGTAAGTTTCCTTTCTTCTCTTCTCTCTTTTTTCTTTTTTTTTTTTTTTGTTCTGGACGTTGGTTGCTGTTCGTATCTCTCCCTGTTTTTTTTGTTATGTTTTGTTTGTTGTCGTTCTCTGCCGTCTGTTTCTTTGTTGTTCTACGTTGCTCCTCTTTTTTTTTTTTCTTGCAGGTGTGGTGGCTTTTATAGCCACCACCGAGGCTCTCGTCGGACCGGTTACAAGGGTGTAAGGCTCGGTGAGTCACCAAAGCTATGCTAGTGACTCACCATAGAGCCGACGTGTGCGGCTGTTATCATGGCAGCAAAGCTTCTGGAGGCTTCTGGCGAGGGCATCGGCAGCTGGAACGTCTGGAAGCAACGGCGGCGGCCGTGTGGTCCCTAGGGTTATGATACCCTAGGGTTTCAAGCTGGATAGTTTTGGACCGTTGGATCTTGCCAGATCCAACGGTGGAGATCACTGGCGGCTGGGGCATGAGATGAGAAACCCTAGTTGGGTTTTAGGGTTTACGTTGGGCTTCTGTATCTGGGCCTGAGTTATTGTAATTGGGCTTTGTAATATTTAATAAATAATATATAATAATTATAATAATAATACTAATAATAATAATTTTAATAATAATAAATTTAAATGAAAAAAATTGATGTCTACAAAATGCATTGAACTTTTATATCTTGAAACTCTTTTTCCTCCATAAAATTAAGTTTAATAAGCTCGCATCATTAAGCACTGCTGTTTCTAGAAGTTTTCATGAGAGGAGCCAAACATACATTACTTGAAACCCAAAGGAGCAAGTTAGGGTGGCTTAGTTTTATCACTTATCCTTTTCCCGTGGGTAATGCAATTGTACTGTATTACTGGTAGAAGTCAAATAAATATTTATAAGTAGCTATCATGAAATTCTTTTGTTCAAAGTTTCTTTGACTCTACCCCAGACAGCTACAGACTGTTGTTTGATTGCATTTGTTTCAAAGATACAGATTCAACCAGAAAGGATTGTTTGAGACACCTTGACCTTGTTTGCTCATGAATGAGCTAACAATGAAATTGCATACTTGCAATTAAACAATTCATGGAAAGTTAATTTTGCATTTGTTTCTGCATTCTTAGGGAGTTTATTGCATCTTTGTTAGAGAAAGATACAAAACATGGCTTAATTTGAAAGTTGACTCTTTCAGCACGAAGCTGCTCATACAGCTTTTAAGGATGCTCAAAAAGAGATGGACAGCATATTGGGGAAAACTGAAACTATGACTGCTGCCATTAAAGATAAGCAAATTGATCTGGAAAAAAACAAGCTTGAAGCATTGAAAGCCCGCAAATTGGAACAGGTTCATGATTCCATGATAATTGATTGATGCAGGGTTTTCTTTTAGGCTAATTTTCTTTTCCAAGTTCTTTTTTCATCATGGAATATGTTGTGAATAAACAATGTTCTGCAGGAATGCATCAAAGAACAAGATGCACTGATTCCTCTTGAACAAACAGCGAGAGAGAAGTTTGCCGAACTGAAGTCGGTGCTTGATTCTGAGAAGAGCCAGGGATCAGTTTTAAAAGCAATTTTGCAGGCTAAAGAATTTAAGCAAATTGAGGGAATATATGGCAGAATGGGTGATTTGGGTGCTATTGATGGTGAGTTTTTCAAATTATCTTCTATTAGCTCTTGCTATCTTTTATAGCTTCAGGGAGTATTAGCTGGTGTCTGCTGGTACTCTACGTGGTTTTATTTGTTAAAGTGCCTGGAGTTGCAAGTACATGTATTATTCCTTTTTGTTTCTCTCTCTCACTCTCTACTTCCCTCCTGCTCTCCATTCATTATTTCCTTCTTTTTTGCTCCTATTATATTTTATTTTGATTTGAATCCCTAGAATGATAAACAATTTTTTGTTGCAGACCTTCCTTTTCTAGTCATATAATTGCATGTTGTGGAGTTTAATACATTAATATAATGACTTATTATTTCATATTTTCCTTCATTATTTACATTGAAGTTATTCTGTGGTCTGGTCTTTACTTATTGTTATCTTGCAGCGAAGTATGATGTTGCCATCTCAACTGCATGTCCCGGACTTGATTATATTGTTGTGGAAACCACTGCTGCAGCACAAGCATGTGTTGAGCTACTTCGCAGGGAGCAACTTGGTATTGCGACATTCATGATTCTGGTATGAGCTGTCCTCTAAGAAAATGTACTTAATATGTTCCTACCTAAGCGAATAGAACTTTCTGAACTGACCTGGCTGATTGTTGTTACCGATCTTAGAATCTAAATGCTCACTAAAATTGTCATCTTATAGTTTATACTGGCCAGTTGAACATTACTATCAATAATTTAGATCTCTTTGGCAAGGAATCTGCCAAGTGTTTCTTTGGATAGAAATTTACCAACTGTGCTTTGAGCCTGTGAAATATTTTAATATTCCATATCTTATGTAGTGGATTATAGGTGTGCAGTGGCCATAATGTGGTCACCTGTAACATTTTACCTGGGAATTGTCATGTTTAGGATATTGGCTCTTAATTTGATCATGATTTCCATTTTTCTTGACTCATGCAGGAGGAGCAGGTTGATCTTTTAGAGAGGTCTAAGGAGAAAGTAAAAACCCCTGAGGGAGTTTCACGTCTCTATGACTTGATTAAAGTTCAGGATGAAAGAATGAAACTTGCTTTCTATGCTTCCCTGGGAAACACAATTGTAGCAAAAGATCTTGATCAGGTAGATAAGCATTTTTCCATCATTAAGCAGATTGACGAATAATTCATTTCATGTACGACTTGGTAATGTTTGAATATCTGCTAGAATTTCAGAATTTAGATGAGAGTTTATAGTGGCATATGATATTTTAGGTAATGCCAACAGACATATGAGATCATAGGAAAGTGCAATCCTTTTGATATGGTTGTTATATTAGGAAGCTCGGCCTTATTTCAGTTAACAACTAAAGCATTCTCTCTTCAACTCAGGCAACACGTATAGCATATGGTGGAAACAGAGAATTTCGCCGTGTGGTAACCCTTGATGGTGCTCTTTTCGAAAGATCTGGTACCATGAGTGGTGGAGGAAGCAAGCCGCGTGGTGGTAAGATGGGGACATCTATTCAAGCCAGCAGTGTGTCTAGAGAAACTGTTATTGCTGCCGAGGAGGAGCTTGCTAATATGGTTGATTCATTAAAAACCATCAGGCAAAGAATTGCTGATGCAGTAAGGCGCTACCAAGCCTCAGAAAAAGTAGTCTCAGAGCTGGAGATGGAGATAGCTAAAAGCCAAAAAGAGGTAGTTCAACACGGTCAATTTTCTATATCTTATCATTTGTTAATTGGAGTCTCATGCAATATTTTCTCATGATCAAAAACAGGTTGACAGCTTCAATTCGGAATATAAATATCTCGAAAAGCAACTTGACTCCCTGGAAGCTGCATCACGGCCAAAGCAGGATGAAATTGAAAGACTGGAAGAGCTTAAGAAGATAATTTCTACTGAAGAGAAAGAAATTGATAGACTCATCCAAGGGTCAAAAAAGTTGAAAGAAAAGGTGGGTGAACGTTTGCTAATTTCTTTGAAGCTAGAAACTTTAGGGTCAATTTGGATGCCAATGTGCGAACTTACACATCCGTTTATATTACACTATATGTAATGCTCTATGCGTTTGTAATAATAAGAAAAATCTAGTATGTACAGGTGCTATATTACTTAACTTTCTCCTATACTTTTAGACTTCGGATCTCCAGAATAAAATAGAACATGCTGGTGGTGAAAGGTTGAAAAGTTACAATCAGTAAGTTCTGCAGGGCACAGAATTTACAGATTCCTTTATGCAATACTCATTACTAACTGATATTTCATGCTTCTAATTTTGTTAGGATATTGACAAGAATAGCACAGAGATCAACCGTCACAAGGTACAAATAGAGACAGGTGAGAAAATGGTGAAGAAATTAACAAAGGGGATTGAGGAGTCAAAGAAGGAGAAAGAACGAATCATTGAGGGGAAGGACAAGATGCAGGGTGTGTTTAAAGAAATAGAGCAGAAGGCATTTATTGTTCAAGAGAATTATAAGAAAGTGCAGAAGGTTTTCAACTTTCTTCCTCTACCATTTCCTATTTCCTTACGATAAAGAACAAAACAGTGGCCTTGTACAAATGCATGACTTGTTTCTTCTTTTAATAGCTAATTGATGAACATGAAGAAGTACTGGAGAAGTCAAAATTGGAACACGAAAGAGTGAAAAAAGATGTTGATCAATTGCGTGCATCAGAGGTAATCTGCAATTTAAGGGTTCTTTTTTATTGGTTAGGCTTATGCTTAGGGACGAGCAATCAGTTGTTTCTCATTGTGCTTGTTTTAACCGTGTCGAACTGTTATTTTCAGGTGGATGCTGACTTCAAGTTGCAAGACATGAAAAAGATGTATAAGGAGTTAGAAATGAAGGGGAAGGGCTACAAGAAAAGGCTCATCGAGTTGGAAACCAGTCTACAAAAGCATATGGAACAGTATGTGTTTCTGTGGTTTTAAAAGTATTTGCTTTAAGTTGTAAATGACATTCTATCTTCTTGGTTGCAGGATACAGAAAGATCTTGTAGACACTGAAAGACTTCAAGCAACTTTGGCTGATGAGACCCTGACCGAGGTGTGTGACCTGAAAAGGGCCCTTGAAACGGTGACTTTACTAGAGACACAACTGAAGGAAATGAATCCCAACCTTGATTCAATCTCAGAGTACGGATTTTTATTTGGTTAATCTTAATATTTCCATAGAGTGATATATTTTCCTCTATGGATGTGCACTAAAGCACTTGATATTATAGATATCGACAAAAGGTATCACTGTATAACGAGTGAGTTGAGGAACTTAACACAGTTACCCAACAGCGTGATGATATAAAGAAGCAGTATGATGAGTGGAGAAAGAAAAGGTACGGACATCTGACATCCCCTGATGTTATTTTTCCCTCTTGTGAATTTTATCTTTTCTGCAAAAGATGTCAAATCTCATTCAACTGAAACTTTTATAATTATGATGTCTAGACTGGACGAGTTCATGGCAGGATTCAATGCAATATCTTTGAAGTTAAAGGAAATGTATCAGGTTTGTCTTTGCACCTTCCGAAAACCGAGACCGTTATTTGTACAATTATCCTTATCTGCTTCTTACTAACTGCACTGAACAGATGATCACACTTGGAGGGGATGCAGAACTTGAACTAGTGGACTCTTTGGATCCATTCTCTGAAGGTGTTGTTTTCAGCGTTAGACCCCCAAAGAAGAGCTGGAAGAACATTGCAAACTTATCGGGTGGTGAAAAGGTTGCATCTCTGTCTTGACTGCCTATTCATGAATGATCAACATGCATGTCACGACCCGACTTATGGGTCTGTGTATCATAATTGAGAATGATAATTTTGGTTTACATTCATGATACAGCTTGATGGGTCGGGTCATGACAATGCATGCTGATGCATCATTTTACATCCCTTTATTCACATAGTAGACAACTTTATTCACATATTAGACCCGAGTATTGTGATAATGAATTGGTTTTTTCTTGTTACTCAAACTTAACTGTAAGTGTCGGATATAAGTAGGATGTAAATCGTTTACTCTCGTGTCTGATTCCAGACTCTCAGCTCGTTAGCTCTTGTTTTCGCTCTTCACCATTACAAGCCAACCCCACTCTATGTCATGGATGAAATTGATGCAGCTCTAGGTACATTTTTGATAGATCATACCATTCTTCCCTTTTCATTTCATCTGAGGTTCATTTTACATACACTTTCATTGCATCTCCAGACTTCAAGAATGTTTCCATTGTCGGACATTACGTCAAGGATCGGACTAAGGATGCACAGTTTATAATCATAAGGTAAATTTCATTTGTTCCGATAAGGTTTGAATTCGAATCTTAATATCTACAACTAATATTCATTTATTAGATTTGTTTCGTATGGTGCAACAAAATGCAGCCTCAGGAATAACATGTTTGAGTTGGCTGATCGACTTGTTGGAATCTACAAAACCGATAATTGCACTAAGAGCATCACAATCGATCCCAACAGTTTTGTGGTGTGCGAAAAAGCTGCATGATTCAGTGAGTTTGATTCCTTTCCCTAATCTTTCTGTTCCATAATATTAACCTAAACTACATCTATTTATCTATATATATATATATATATATTTATTTATGAACTGTGAAGTTTTTGTGTATATATATATCATGTATGAACTATGAACTTATTGATATGTGTTATAGAATTTTATTTTATATTTGATAGAATATTATTTTAATATACTCTATAAATGAATTTTTAAAGTTCATTTATTAATTATATATAGTAATGGTTAATTATAAATATGTTTATTTATTAATTATAAAATTTACTCATTAATTTATTTTTACATTTTTGTTGAATACAATTAATTTAAATTTATATGAATTAATATATAAAATATTTTTTATTAGGTTAAAGGATAATAATGTCATTTTAGACTTATTCATTAACGATATTTTACCTAACTAAGCACTGAATTACTCATTTTTATATTTTATTTCTACTGAATAATTATTTATATTCATTACGATAACAAATATTTAATCCAAACTATAATTTGATTTTGATCAGTTTGATTCTTGATTTTTCATATTAGTGGAGTTTTGATTTTCCTGTCATTTTTTGACAAAAAATAAAGTAGTAAATTTTATTAAGAATAAAACATCCAAAAATTATAATGAGTGATTATAGATAGAATCGTAAATTAAATATAATTAAGATATTCTTTTATAATTATTAAGATAAAAAATTAGTTATTTAAGATTATATATGAACTATATAATGAAAAGGTAAAAATATCATTTAAAAAATCTTGAACAATAGATAGATATAAATAGATTTGATTGTTATGATAGATGAATCATAACAGGAGATTAAACTATTAAAAAATTATTGACAAATACAATCACTATTGGCAAATTATAATTTATTCAATCAAATATTAATTATGTTGATATCATTATTATTATTATATTTAAAAAATTATTAATTTTTTAACAGTTCAAGATGATTAAAAGATAGTATTTATCAAAATCTTAGTCGTTATCTTCTCATTTTTTTATATTGGTTTTCAATCGTCGGTTATTTTATCTTTTTATTTCTTTTTTAAATTTTTTAATAAGAATAATTTTATCTTTATGACACGTTTTTTTTGTCTTTATGGCATATTTTTCTATGTCTTTGTGACACGTGTTTATTCTTATTTCTTGGTCTATTAGCCTTTTTTTTATTTTATGTTTTCTCAAAATTAGATTTGGAGACGTATAAAGATGACGCTTATTTGTAATATTGTCGATCTTTTATACTATGAACTATCAGATTGAATTTGGATATGTGATTTTGTGTCCGTAAATAGTTTCTCACGAGGCTCGGCTTTGATTTGCGGTTCTCAGTAGTCTTTCAATAATTTAATCCTTTTTTGTGGTTCGTATATCGATGCAGTTAAATTCATTCGTATCTATTTAATTTACGATGATAATTGTAAATTCTTATTGTAATTTTGGATATTTTTACTTTTTAATAACATCTTTTATTAAAAAAAAGGTAACATATGTTTAAATTTTTTCTCAATTATTGATAACTTACACATCTATGCACACAACTATTTAAACTCGAATTTTTTTAGAAGAACAACACTAAAATTAAAATCATACCTTATGTAAAATATTATAAATATAATATTTTAATTTATTAAAATTTAAAATAGTATACTTTTGACTAAAATTGAACTCTTACGTAGCTAAAATGTATAAATTTGTATTCACCTCATATTTATATAAAAATAAAATTAATATTTAGTGTAAAGTAAAATTTATATGACTATTAAAATTGCATAAATATTTATTGAGTTGAACCGATTCAAAAATTATTAAAGCTATAACTGAAAATTTCATCAACCTCTCATCTGTAATTTCACCCATGCTCAAAACCAGGTCTCTAACAAAGCAAACCCTTCCAATTTCTGTTCCCGAATTCTCAGCAAATATCAACCTCAGAAAAATAGAGGAAAAAAATTAGACAATTCTCCATGATTTCCCACTTTTTGGGACCCACTTTAAGAACAGATTGTCCTGTTCATTTCCATAGTTTCCCCTCTCATTTTCTTGATGTAAAAGACAACCTTTCCACTATAAATAATTGCAACAGAATTCAATAAAAAAGGGAATTTCTTGGTATTTTTGAGTCAATAGTGTCTGGCCCTGGGAAATGGCTTCCATTGGCAGTTCTTCACCATTTTTGATTGAAAGGAATATAAAAAGTAAACCTTTTGTTTTCTCAAGTTTTAGTCCAAGAAAGATCAAAACTTTAGCTGTTTTGGATGATTCAAAATGTGGGGTTTCTTTGTTTTGTACCAAAGGGCAGCTCTGGAGATTTAAACCTGTTAGAGTGTCTGGTTCTGCTGATGATCTTGGTGGTGATAGCTCTGAGAATACATTTCCGGATACAATTGAGAAAAGCAAGAAGGTTATTGCAATGCAAAAAGAACTACTTCAACAGGTACTTTCTAACTTTTTCCTTTACGTTTATAGCATTTGATTTTCATGGAAATCTTGCTTCTTTAATTGTAAAATTTGCTTCTTTTATGTTTACAATGGCTGTTTATTTTCTGGGTTGTGATTCATTCTTTGGTTCTTTATTGAAATGTGAGACTTTGTAACTGTTACCTTTTGCAGCAAGAAAAACATGAAACTAATACTCAGTAATAGCCAAAGTCTCTTTGTAGCTTTCATGGAGATTAAATTCCAATTGTAATCTTCCATTTCATATCTAATTTTTTATTCTACATTCTTTTAGGTTTCAAAGTTGCATTCATTAAGGGTATTTGTGCTCATATGTCATCTGAAATATCGATTTACTCACGCCCGCCTTGTTGTTGCGGAATAAGTATCTGTTTTTTTCTGGTATTTCAACTCGTTTGAATTACTACTGAAGTGTAGGATGACTTGGATATTCATGTTCTAACAAGCATTCTATAGGGTGTATTTCTGTTCGATGATGGAAATGAAGATTCCGTGATATTCTTAGATTGGTCTGTTTCTTGGTTTGGTTGGCATTTTGAACTCTTAACTTCATATTGCTACCTTGGTTGGAATTTTGGGATGGAAACCTTTTAGCACATGGAATCACAATTAGCTTTTATGATGTTTATTCAAACCTTGTCATCCGAGAGCTACATTCACTTGCTGATTTTGTCGGTGAGAATCCGAATTTTAGTTGTGTTATTCATTTTCTGTATCCATGGCAGATTGCAGAACAAAGGAAATTGGTTTCATCAATAAAAGGTAGCGTTGCTGACAAAGATGAAGACAAAGATTTTCATAAACAGGGGGATAGCTCTCTTCGCAATCCAGACCTTGCATCTAGCAGCTCCAACGGGGTGGATGAAGACAAAAATGGTAGCATTCCTTCAAGCAGTTTTGTTAATTCAGCTACAACAAATGTATCGGGGATCCTACCTTCGGATGAAGTTGGAGAGGAACCTGAACTATATTTGTCCCCCGAAAAAGCTTCCTCTACTATAGGTTCTATCGAACAGTCGAAAACTGCTGATTCTAAAGCATTTAAGTCTGATGTGCTTCCTCTTTATCTCTCGAGTTCATCTGACAAAGCCCAAGTTACAGACGAAGAGAACAAAAACTTGACTGAAGCAGTCTTGAAAGAGGCTGCTGAGGTAGATGATTCCGTCGTTGAAGATGAAAACCCCCCGCCACTAGCTGGTGCAAACGTCATGAATGTTATATTAGTAGCTGCAGAATGTGCTCCATGGTCTAAAACCGGTAATGCACCACTGATAGATAATCCGAGCTGACAGTCTCTTCTCCTTTCTCGATAAGTAGATGGCATGTTAACTTTCCCTTTTATATGCAATTGGAGACTAACATATTCTTATCATAGGTGGGCTTGGAGACGTTGCCGGTTCTTTGCCAAAGGCTTTGGCTCGACGTGGACATAGGGTTATGGTAATATTTCATATCTGATTTTTATGTTAAACTGAATCAAATCATTTTTATCTTAGGTCCCCAGCGATGAACCTACAGATGCCTACTGCACCTTATATGGTCTCATAGCAACCTTTCTTTTTCATTAGGTTGTGGTACCTCGATATGCCGATTATGCTGATTCTCAAGATATTGGAGTTCGAAGGAGGTATAAGGTAGATGGTCAGGTATGAAAGAGCATTATTTCGTATATTTGTAATTTTCTTAGCTATCGATTGTTAAAACATAATTGGCTAATTTACAGCACAATCTCGATGTTATGTTATTTGCAGGACATGGAAGTATCCTACTTTCAAGCCTATATTGATGGTGTGGATTTTGTTTTCCTGGACATTCCCGTGTTTCGCCATATGCAGAATAACATATACGGAGGAAACCGGGTGGTAGAATTATCTTTTCTTATGGATTTCTAATAATTAGTTAATAGTTTGATCTCAGAAACCATCTTTTGGTGCAGGGTATTTTGAAGCGCATGGTATTGCTTTGCAAAGCAGCGGTTGAGGTAAAGTGAAGGTTTACTCTGTCTCGGTTTCGTAGTTTCTGTAATTTTTATTTCACTTGGTTGGATATTCAATCCATTTGCTTCTTTACTGGTGTCGTTAAGTGAAGGCTTTTTTTTCCAGGTTCCATGGTATGTTCCGTGTGGTGGTGTCTGCTATGGAGATGGAAATCTTGTTTTCATCGCTAATGATTGGCATACCGCCTTGTTACCGGTGTACTTAAAAGCATATTATCGGGACAATGGTTTGATGTCCTTCACAAGATCCATTCTTGTTATCCATAACATTGCTCACCAGGTTTGGATGTCCTACACGGGTATGATTATTTGAATTTCTTCATAGCTGTATTCTAAATGATGAATTGAATCCAGGGCCGGGGACCTGTGGAGGATTTCAAATACGTCGATCTACCGGGACACTACATCGACCTTTTCAAGTTATATGATCCGGTAGGAGGTGATCACTTCAATATCTTTGCTGGTGGACTAAAGGCAGCCGACCGAGTGGTCACGGTTAGCCATGGATATGCTTGGGAGGTTAAAACTTCTGAAGGTGGTTGGGGTTTGCATGGGATCATAAACGAAAACGACTGGAAGTTGAGGGGAATAGTCAATGGCATCGATACAACAGACTGGAATCCGGAGTACGATATCCACCTCAAGTCAGATGGTTATACTAACTACTCCTTGGAAACATTGAAAACCGGTAAACCTCAATGCAAGGCCGCCTTACAGAAGGAGCTCGGCCTGCCGGTTCATGACGACGTCCCGCTGCTCGGCTTTATAGGGAGACTGGATCAACAAAAAGGTGTTGATCTGATCGCCGAGGCAATTCCTTGGATGATAGGCCAGGATGCACAGTTAGTCCTGTTAGGCACCGGCAGGCCCGACCTAGAACAAATGCTTAAACAGTTTGAAAACAAACATCCTGACAGGATAAGGGGATGGGTAGGGTTCTCGGTAAAGACGGCTCACCGTATAACGGCCGGTGCTGATATTTTACTAATGCCATCAAGATTCGAACCCTGTGGACTAAACCAACTGTATGCTATGAACTATGGAACGATCCCGGTTGTGCATGCGGTCGGCGGATTGAGGGACACGGTGCAGCAATTCAATCCGTTCGAAGAGTCTGGGCTCGGGTGGACGTTTGATAGTGCTCATACGAACAAGTTCATACATGCGCTAGGGAATTGTTTGTTGACTTACCGGGAGTACAAAACAAGCTGGGAAGGGCTGCAGATACGGGGAATGAAGCAAGATCTCAGCTGGGATAATGCAGCTGAGAAGTACGAGGAAGTACTTGTTGCTGCCAAATACCAATGGTGAGGCCTCTATGATTTTCACAAATATTTTCGGGTTCTGTTTACTTACATAAGTACAAGATAATATATGTTCAAAGATAACTTTAAATTATTTAATGTTAAACGCTCACACCTTAATATTTATAGTATTTATACCCAGAATTCAAAAAATAACAATAATTTCTTTATCACCAAAGTCTTTTAATTTATGCTAAAATATTTTATTTGGAATAAGTTATAGATAAGTATAGTTTATTCTTAAAAGAACAGTCAAAACAGAAAATCAGAACAGAAGATTAATATAGGATATATTAAACTCTAAATGAATAAATAAATATTTTATCCAACTAATGCATGCTAAAATACAAATTTGTTTACCGATTAGGATTAATAAAATAGAATCTTCTAGATTCTGGTTAACGCAATTTCGTGCATCATCATCAACCTCCTGGAATCTACTTTCTTCTCGAATTTTCCAGAATTAACCCTTCAATTTCCCCTATAAAAATCTTCTCTTTCCTTTCAACTTCAATTCAAATTATAAGAAAAAGAGTTCTTAATTTTTCCAACGTCAACATGGCGGATACCCCCACTCGAACCCAACAGTTTCCTCGGGTTGTTTTCGTCACGATCAACTTCAACGGCGGTGGAGTCGCCGGAGACGACAGTAAATCCGGAAAGGCACCTGCTTCGAAAGCTTCGATCGAAGCAATGCCGAGGATTAAAGTGAAAGAGAGCGGCGGCGATTGTAGTATTTGTTTGGAAGAGTTCGAAGTTGACGAAGAAGCTAGGGAGATGCCATGTAAGAACGTTTTTCATTCGGGTTGTATCGAGAAGTGGTTGCAGATCCATGGATCGTGTCCGGCCTGTCGGTTTTTTATGCCCGCCGCCGAGACGGCTGAAACCAACGGAGGTGAAGGTGGTCGGAGGAGATTGGAAGGTGGTGAGAATATTAATGGTTTGGATGTTTTCGAATCGTTTTTGGCTTTGGCTAGCTTCATGGGTATGATGGGTTCGGGTTGGGTTTTCCATCAACCTAATTCGGGTTGGGTAAATGATAATATGTCTTCCAATCAAAACATGGACCGCAATTGAAGAAGATTCATACACATATTTTATTTATTTTATTTTATTTTTATCCCTTGAAGAAGGGACTAAATTGTAAAGAAATAAAACAAATATATGTAAAGAATTAAAATATTGTTTATTTATTTGAATTTGATTCTAATGTATAATCTGTATCCAAATCCTACTTCTTGTTCTTTTTTTGCTTCTTTGGCCCTGCAACCTCCAATCTACCCGCAGGACATCCACACCGAGCTCGAAAAACGAGCACTGCTCCTCCATTACTCGGTGCCATCTTCTTCAACTCGGCTTCCAGTTCCCAGTGACGATCAGGCGGCAACTCGACAAGTCCTCTTTCAACACCATCTTTAACCAAAGTGTTGGGGTTCTAAATACACTCATCAGTTTCTAGTTCGATATCGAATTCGCCCGCCTTCATGAGAGCTTTACAATCAGGGTTCTTGCATTTGCTAGGTGTTGTACACAGAAGCAAAATCCAAGTAGCAATTGCAGAACAAGAAAAGCCTAATCCTATGGATGCATATACCATTGGAGTTCTCATGATTTCCTCTTTAAACATACGAAAGACAGGTTCAATGTATTCAACCCTTTTCAAAGAATCCACAACCACCAATCAAAGAAATCAACAATGTCGAGTAGTTCAATTAAACAGGTGAAATATATACTGTAGTTATCTCTTAATCTAAGGAAGTTTAAGTAAGAGTATAATTATCCCTTAATCTATGGAAGTATGGTAGAAATGAAACTCTTAACAGTCGGATCATTATCTACTAAAATTGTAATTAGGGGGTAAAACAATATATACTTTAAACAAGGTCAGGAGGTCGAATTCTGAAGTTGTATGCAAGACTCGATTTAGATTGACCAACCAATAGATTGAAAAACAACGGTTAAAAAAAATTTGTAACCACTAGATTTGCATAATTATCCTGTAAAAAGATAACTTTTTTCGAATGATCTCTCTAGAGAAACTGAGCACAACACTCGTCTCCATTTAGTTTTGAAGATTCAATGATTCAGCCTACAGAATACCATTGTAGTACCATTCAGAAGCTTTAAAACAAAGAGAAAAATATATGTTTAAACCAAAGAATTTCTAATGTTTCTCTGAATAAGAGTGTGATACAGTTCAAGCAAAATAAAGAATCGGAGCAACATAGATAAAAACCAACTGATTAAAGGACAATGATTTTTGGAACGTTAATATTCGACCTAATTATAGCTGGAGTCTTAGGCGCATTTTGAAACTTCGATTGAAGGCCTTTCCTTTTCTTACTGCTGGATCTGTTAAAGCGAAGGAAATCTGGGATTCTTTGCGAGAAAGACATCCTCTTGTCCCTTGGCAGAAAATCATTTGGTTTCCTCTTCATATCCCCAAATATAGCTTGATCACTTGGATGGCACTGCATGATCGTCTTCCTACGAAAGTTAGACTCCTCCGAATGGGTCTAATCTCTGACTGTAAATGCAATTTATGTGATAATCTATTTGAAACTAGGGAGCACCTGTTTTCCCAATGTTCTATGGCTAATCAACTATGGCATACTATCTTCTCTCATGTTGGTCTTACCTTTAAATTTAGCTCATGGGATGCTCTTTTAATGTGGGCCTGTTCCACTTGGAAGGGAAAATCCTTGCTTATTTCCATCATGAAGCTTGCTTTCTCTGCTCTTATCTACACCCTATGGGATGAACGCAATAAACGTCAGTTTCAAAACCATTCCAGATCCGCCCAAGACCTTTTCCATGCCATTAAGGAGACTGTGAGGTTACAATTGAGTGATAGGTCTATAAATATGAATGACAATGTTAATGTCACTCTTGTTGAACATTGGGAAATATTTTTATTTGATTCTTCTGTAAGTAGTTTTCTTTTGTTTTCAGAACTTTGAGGTTTTTGTAATCTGTTTCTGTTCTTGGGTAATAAAATTTTGAATTTTCCAAAAAAAAAACCAACTGATTTCCGGTGTTACTACTCGCGACACCTCAACTCGGATCATCAAACGCTTAATTTTTGCATTAATTCAGTGCATATGCAATATGATATTAATTCCAATGATCACAAAAGCTTTAAGATGTAAATTATCATAGAAAAGTGATTAAACAAATGAAAGAAAATATTCTTATATTCTCCGCTATAATCAACTGTATATAATCCTTACAACTTATTGCCATTAGAGCTTATTTAAAGACAACATAGTTTTTGAATAAACTAACCAGAGAAGGCACTCCTCTCTGCATTATGATTACTTTCTCTATTGCTTTAATTTATCTATCATATCCCAAAATCCTACTTCTTGTTCTTTCTTTGCTTCTTTGGCCCCGGAACCTCCAATCTGCCAACAGGACATCCACACCGAGCTTGAAAAACAAGAACTGCTCTTCCGTTAATTGGTGCCATCTTCTTTAACTCGGCTTCCAATTCCCTGTGATGATCCGGAGACAACTCGAAAAGTCCTCTTTTAGCACCATCTTTAACCAAAGTGTTGGAGTTCTTAATACACTCCTCAGTTTCTAATTGGATATCGAATTCGGCTGCCTTCCAAAGACCTTTACAATCAGGGTTCCTGCATTTCCTAGTTGTACACAGAAGCAAAATCCAAGTAGCTATTGCAGCACAACAAAAGCCTAATCCTATGGATGCATATATCATTGGAGTTCTCATAATTTCCTCTTTAAACATATAAAAGACAGGTTCAATGAATTCAATCATTTTCAAAGATATACACTTTAAAGTTGGGAACAACAAGAATCCACAAGCTGCAATCACAGCAATTAAGATGAATACATCAATGGCAGCAGATCTTGATCCTTCACAAAATGGAATTTCTAAACAACTTGATGAATTGGGTACCTTTTGTTTCTTGGGAAAATTGTTTCTTGATGATGATTTGGGGTTCATCAGATCATCTGAATCCAATGAATTCGCCATGATTGTAGCTGAGGAAGCCTGGTCAACGGAGTTGCAGACTGAGATTGAGCTATGGAAATTGACCATTTCAAATCAAACCCAGAATTTTTTAAATCCAAAAATCGAAAAGAACAAAGAAAACCCAACAAATGAAAATTGAATCTCTATCAATTTTCCTTCAATCCAAACTGTAAATCCAGATCAAACCCACCTCATAAAACCTCAAAAAGCAAAAAACTTTCCTCAATATCAGGTGTTTCTTAGTATCCAAATGAGTAAATTCCTTCAGACAACGCCCAAGGAATGGAAATTTTCAATCCCAAATTGAGACTTGAGATTGAATGTGGAGCAAAAGAAGATTTGGGATTGCAATCCTTTATATCGAGAGAGAGAGAGAGAGCTGACAATGGAATAGCATGTTAATTCAGTGGAATTTTTTTAAATTAATTATTTGTATCCGATTTATTAATATAATAATCCAAATCAGATTTTGTAGTAACTCATTACAAGTGATCATTTCAATTTAATTTGCTTTATTCATTTATATCAGATTTTTGTTGCTATTGAGAGATAGTTTCAAACCGTTTTCTTTTAAGAAAAAATCAAAAAGAAAGTAATTCAAATTAAGAACTTTGATTGAGGTTGAAACCCCCTTTTAGTCAAATATGATGATGATGATGATATTGTTTTTCTTCCATATTCTATTAATTTTGTATAACAAAGATAGAGATAATAATTCTTTATTGAATATTAATTCCTTAATACCTCCTAAAAAATGAGTTTAAATCATTTTGGTTTAAGGATCGCTTTTGTCTTTATTGTAGATTCAATTTATCATTTTCGTTGTATCATACTTTCATATCAATTTAACCCTCGAAAGTGTTCAATTGCTCCATTCTATACCATGTCCTTAACTTAAAACCCTAAATCAATTTAGGGTTTTAAGTTAGGGGCAGGATATAGAATAGTGTAATTGAACAACTTGAGGGCTAAATTGATATGAAAGTATGATAGGGGCGAAAATGATAAATTGAGTCTACTATAGGGATAAAAATTACCCTTTTGTCAATCTTTTTTAATAGTTTGTGTGATTATAAGATAACATCTGTTTAAAATATTTTTTAATTGACGACAATGTACACACCGTAACTGCTTAAACCAATAACATCTAAGGAGAACAACATTCTTTTTAACCAGTGATGTTAGTTTATGGGTTCAAAATAAGTTTAAGTTTTACGTATATTTATATCCTATTTAAAGATTTGAAAATTACAAATAGTTTAATCATAATATAAAATATCATAAATTTAATCCAAATAATTCATATAGTTATTACAAAATAAATAAAATCCATTATTTCAATATCTTTTTTTTAAATCACGTCAATACCGATGGCGCGCGTCGTGAGTCGGATGGGTCAGCTTCCTGTGATTGAGTTGCTCGGGATTCATCGGGTTCTTGGAAGTCTTGTTTCAGCAAATTCATCGGTGCATGCTCAGTGCTCAATGTTGAGCTTTGGGGTGCTGGCGTCGGTCTTGACTCTTGATCTAGCCCGGAGTGCTAGTTTCCGGCTCATTATTCTTGAAGTTGACAGCTTAGAAGCTTTTCGCATCCTACGGAACGACTACAATGGTTTTCACCCTCTTAAACAGTATTTCTCGAATCTCCGTCAACGCCAATGGACTATTAAAATACTTCATATTCGCATGGATGGTAACAAGATCGCCGATGCTTTAGCCAATTGTCGAAGATCATTAGTGGTCTAGCTTCGGCTGGTTTATGGTTGGTCGGAGTTGGTCTCCCTTGTTTCTTTGTTGTTTTCTCTTTGTAGTGATATTATTACATGTACTCTTTTCCTCCTATTAGTAATAAAGGTGTTTTTATAATGAAACATATGAATATAATATTTTCCTTTATATGTTTCGGTTATTAATATATACAACATTTACCCAAAAATAAAATTATTTCTGAAAATATGATTTTCACTGTTTTTATAAATAACTGATATTTTTTTATAATCTATCATTATTACATGCGGAAATTCTTACAAATGTTTTCCTTTTCACCAAAAGAACGTAAAAGTTCAATTTTTCTTACCTAAACTTCATTTAGATATTTTTTTGTCAAAATCATTTAATTAAGATGCATTTAATGAATACATCCATAGGTAGGTTGGGTCGAATCGTAGCCTACATATTTTTATTTTCCTTCACTCAAACTTGGCCTAATTACTACAGCAACTCAAAAGCTCTCTTTATTGTTTAAAATAATATTACTTATCTATTTCATAATTGAATTAAGGTAAAAAATATTAATAAATAATAATATTATGAGTAATATAGCTAGTAAACGATCGTAGTAAATCATACTATAAACTTTTTAAATTAGATTAAATAAAATTTGAGCCACAAATCTTAAAAAACATAAGTGTTGTGGGTTATTTCATGATTGCATTGTGATATAAATGAAGGAGAGAGAAAATGGCAACACGTTTTTCCTTTTACAAAGCAGACCTTACGGCTTGAAAGACATTTTAGACACAAATTATAAGTCTTTCGGCTAACGGGTTAGTTTAAGTGATAAACAATTTGATATCGTTTAAGCATGTATCGAGTTTGAGTACTTGTATATATGAAAAGTTTTCGTTGAGAGATTTATCCACCAAAATTAAATATGCAACATGAATTAATCCGAATTAATCACGGGAAAACCTTAAAAATCAAGAGGGAGAGAAAACAAAGTCTTTTCAAAACCCTAATCTAAGTCTTGGTCAACCAAAACATGTGGAAATAATTGTAGTTCCTTATTTATCAACAATGAAAGAAGATAGAAGGGGGGAAAACCCAAATTAATCTTTTATATAATTTATGTCTGTTTTATAATGTTTGTAATTATCATTTCAATTTTTTTGATAAATTATAATTAAAAAATTAAAAAATATTAATAGAAATAATCATACGAATCTATCTTATTTATTTTCATTCTTAGTCTTTTTATGTTTGTGATTTATTAATCACCCAATACTATTTAAAAAATAGAAATAAATTCTTTAGAGTTAGTCCTGGGTAAAAATTATTGGTCTGAATATAATTTAAATATATGTAATTTATCGATGTATGGAGTTTGTATGAATTTTCTTAGTCATTAACAACATATTTTATAGATGTAATTATTCGAATTCAGAACTTGAAAGGCGAATAACCACTAAATGTTATTTTTTATTACTCTTGGGTAAATATAAGATAGTATATGTTCAAAGATAACTCTAAACCATTTTAACATTAAACACTCGTACCCCTAGAATTGCTTATATTCAAACCTAATACCTCAAAGAATAATAACAATTTCTTTATCACCGAAGTGACTAAGATTCGTGCCTAAATGTTCTTATTTAAATATAATAAATATATAATTGACTCACATGCAATAGCTATTATGCTATTCTTGTTTATGAATGTAAAGGTCAAGACATCAACCCCCATATAAACGGTCCATAGTCAAGTCATGGCCATATGTGTAGAGAGTTGAATTTTCTAGCACATTTCATAAAAGCATAATTAGTCTATTCAGACACTAATTACATTAATAATACGTTACATATAAATTTATATAATTGAACATAAACAATTTTATAAGTTTTCACGTAGGTAATTTTATAAATTAATATTAAAAATTTACCCCTTTTTTAAAAAAATATATCACAAAAATAATTGTAAACTAACATTCATGTCAAATAAACCAAATAAAACAATATAATTTTTGAACAAATATGTCAGATAAAACTAAAGATAGATCGAGGGGTGGTCAGGATTGTCGTCTCTCCTTGAAAATTTCAAATTATCATATATTTTATATATTTTTTATTGATAATCTATTTTCGCCTCCTAAAATTTATAAATTTATCCTCACACACATAAAATTATTCATCCGTTCCTAGATAAAACATTATACGAAATAAGTGGCGGAAGATAATGGAAACTAGTGGAGGCCATGACCCTCCAAAAATTTGAAAAATTTTAGTTCAGACCTTTAAATTTTTTAAAATATTTAATTTGGCCACCACAAAATTTTTAAAAATTCATATTAATTTTTAATATTCTTAATTAAATCCCTCCGGTTATTTTTTAAAAATTCTCAATATGCCTCTCAAATTTTCAAAAATTTTAGTTATACCTCAATTTTTTTGGAAAAAATATATACTGAGCCAATCAAATTTTTTAAAAGTTTTAATTTAAACATCTATATTTTTTAAAATTTTAAGTTGACCCTCTCAAACTCTATCATCAAAGTTATGTTATATCAAAGCTATTGAAAAGAGTCCTGATATGAATTTGAACTTGAAGAGGTAATTATTCATATACGAAATCTTGAGACTCAAAGGCAATAATATTGAATCATAGACACAAAATAATATGATGAAGTAAAATGAAATTATTCGTATTAGATTTTGTGATTAAATTATTTTTATTGGATACGAGAATGAGTGAATTGTGGGCATTTACCAAGACAATTGCAAAGAGGCATAGAAGGAAATTGACCAAGAAATTCACCAATTTCCCTTTCTCTTTACGTCCAAAAGCAAACAAACATAAGCACATACGGCTTAGTGTTCGATCAACTCCCAATCAGAAAGTTACATGTACAATCCACCAACAAATTGATTATTCAAACCCATCAAAATGGCTGTTCTTTGTTCCCATATGTAATAGGGTAAGGGGAGGTAAGATAGTAGGTTGTCCCCAACACCAGATTGAGAGTAGCTTCCGTAGAAGACCTCCAAATTATTCAAACCCATCAACTGTACATTATTAAATTTGAATACAGTGAATATTAGATGTCATGATATTATAATTTTATGTAATATCAATGAATCAAATAATAATATATCGTTGGAAATAAAATTGATTTTAAAAAATTCATAATTATTTATTAATCCAAATGAATTGCCCTAATACAGTTAAAATTAGAGTAAAAGTACAAAGATGGTTCCCTGATTATAGGATATTATTTTATTGAGTCCCCTAGTATTAAAAGTTACAAAGCGGTCCTCCGACTATATATAGTTGTTTTGTAGAGTCCCTCGACTATTAAAAGTTACAAAACGAATATTTGACTATTCATTATGTTCCAAACTCGTTCTTTTCCGATAAAACATTGATGGCAATATGAGCTGGACATCAACCTACGGACAGATATATGATAAAATCTGATCTCATAATCCCAAAAGATTATCATATCTCAGTCCACATGTTAATGTTCAGCTCAGACAACCGTTAATTTTTTAATGGAAAAAAGACGACTTTGAAACATAATTAATAAAGTAATCATTTTGTAACTTTTAATAACCGAGGAACTCAACAAAGCAACTCTCAATAGTTGAGGATCCATTTTATAACTTTTAATAGTAAAAATACTCGATAAAATAATATCCTATAGTCAGAGGACCATTTGTATAATTTACCCTTAAAACTATTAACGAGGTTGCTTAATTTCCTAGAAACTTGAATCAAAGGAAACGTAGTCAAAGAGGCTATGGGCAGGTTACCGAGCAAACAAACAAGGGCCACGTATGTAGGCCAAAGTGGACCAACTTCTCTTTTCTAGCTGCTCCCAATACTTTAAACGCAACGTTACACTACCAAAAATTAAATACTCAAACCAATATTAAATTGAATTGTATTAACTAGGAATATGTATTTGACTCGAATTCTTGACTCAATTTTATAAGATTAATTTTTTTATTTGAAAATTTGAGTTTGAGTCGAATCATTATAGATTTCTTAAAGATCAGATCAGATTATACTTTTTAAAAGATAAATAACAAATCGGATCATGTTTGAGTTTTGGGTTAAAAATACTTGACACGAGAATAATAATATAATTGACCTTTATGTATTTAAGGATAATTTCCATAATACCTCTTTCTTTGTACTTCTTTTTTAGTTAAGTCTTTATTTTATCTAATAAAATGAGAATATTTTACATATATTTGTGTAAGATTGAATTGAGTGGGATGCGAGTTTTTACCTTAAAATTAGGTCAGTTTTAAATTGAGTAGAACTTCCCTAAATTTGAGTCGAGTAGGGTGAAAGAGTGTTATACTCTGGTCGAGTTTAGGTGAGTCAAAAACTCGACTCAACTCGTGACTATACCTAACATTAACCATAAGTTAATTTAATAGAATGATGCATTAATTTTTTTTAAAAATTGATTATTCAATTTTGATATTGTAAATGATGAAAGTTGAATCGAAAATATCACTCTATAACAGACATATGTATGACTAGAAATTGAATCTTAATTTAAATACCTCTCTACTTTCTTAGGTTATAAGTTTAATATCTATTAAGAATAAAATTCTCATTTCATTTCTCTTAGGTAGAAATTATTAAAAAAAGACGTTTATAATTTAATTAAACCGATTGAATTGAGGACCGGTTCGATCCCGTTCGAGTTCCGGTTTAGAAATTATTAAACTTTGGAAATATCCCAGGAAGGGCCCATTCTTTTCCCAATATCTTTCATGCTCCATTTCTTTATTGCAGTCTTCTTCTTGGTGGATCTTGCCCGCAGCATACAGGCAACTTCCTCGTTAACTGACCGGGTTGAATTGGCCGCCATTAAATATCCCCCCAAAACTACAACTTTCCATCAATCCATGCAAATTCTTCTTCCATTTTTTCCATTCAGTCTCTTTCTCTCAAAACTGGCTGACAATTTCTTTCAATGGAATCATCATTTGCAGAAAGCCCAAACTCCAACCACTTCCCATTCCTCGATTTAACTCTCTTGTTTCATGCTTTCACTTGTTTCAACAGCTTTCTCTCAAGAAATTGTTGGTTTTCCCCGAAATCCCACCATGAAAACGGCGGTTCAACGTCATTAGATCGTGGGAGAAATCTGGGTTTTGACTATTCGATCGAGGAGAAAGAAGACGGCGTGAGAGTTGATAGAAAAGACGTGGAGAAATTGATGGGAAATCTGGGGATCTTTTGCAGCCAAGAAAGCGAGGAACTGAATGAATCGTTTGGTTTTAATGAAGTTTCGAGGGTGTTTGAAGAGGAGGAGCCGAGTTTAGATGAATTGAAGGAAGCTTTCGATGTTTTTGATGTGAACAAAGATGGGTTCATCGACGCAAAGGAATTGCAGAGAGTTCTCTGTGTTTTGGGATTGAAAGAAGGCTTGGGGATTGGAAATTGCAAGAAGATGATTCAGAGATTTGATGAAGATGGCGATGGTAGAATAGGGTTTAAGGAATTTGTAAAATTCATGGAGATCAGTTTTTGCTGAATCAATCAATTCAGTTTTCTTAACGGCAACTTTTAGATTATCTTATGTGGTTTTATTTTTAAAACTTTTTATTTTATTATTGAAATTGGTATGAATTTATATTTGGGCACTAAGAAAATAATAGTAAAAAAAAAAACTAAAGATAGAAGAGAGGGTATTGTTGTAACGAGAGAGAGAGGGGTATTGTAAATTTTAAAATTTTATTGTTGTTAACGACGGTGATCGGTGATCGATGACAGTCGACAATGATTAATAATAGACAATCTCCATAATATTTAATCACAAATTAGTGATCTTTATCAAATTTTAGTTATCTTCAAAGCGTGAAAGACGAGATTATATATTTTTTATATATAACTTATTCGAAACAAATTTTGTAGATATTGGACACTTATTTCATCCACATAATGCTTGAACAAAAATTGATTATATTTTTACGTATGATGGTACTGCAATCTCTAGGCACGCTATGAAATAATCAATAACTATCATTTCTTCTAAACATACTAAAATTTATGTTATATATGAAGCTAGTTGAGATCTATAATTCATCATATACAAAAGGTTGTGATTTATGCTCTAAAAAAGAACTTAAAGAATGATACATAAGGAATGATAGAACAAAAAACATCTCATCAAAATTTCTCTCTACTCGTCATTTACAAAAAAAAAATGTAGATGTTGATGTTCAACGGATTCACTTTAGTGGGAATTTTGGAGACATTTATTAAAACGTTTTTTTGAGAAGTTAATCTTCAACATTAGATTGTAATATTTGAATGATCTTAAGTGATGCGTACATGAGAGAGTAAATATGTGATGTACTATTCTTTTTATATGTTGTTTTGACCTATTGTATTTTTCGAAAAAGATTTTTAATGAATCAACATATTTTGCGTATTAATATATATATATATATATATATATATATATATATATATATATTCTTTAACTAGATTTTTATCTTACATGATTTTTAATAATATTTTAACAATACACATATTTTAAACACATTCAAAAGGAAGAGTCATTTTCAATTAAAATTTTATTTATTAGAAAATTGAGAGTGAAATTAATAATTTTTTTTTTCAAAAAACATTTATTTTAGATTTATTTATTTTATGTTTAGTATGAAACCTAGTCGGTTTCAAGTTTAGATTTTTTAGAGATAAACTTTTTTAAAATTAGATTTTTTTTAATTTATAAATTTTTCGAGTTATAATCTTTCAAGTTCGTGTTTGGGTTTAGATCTCTCCGGATCAAATTGTTTGAGTTGATGTTTAGACTCATTTATGGTGGGCTTCCAGGCCCATTACAACATATATATATATATATATATATATATATATCATAATTCCATCGTTTACGGCAAATTTTCTTATATAATAAGGTTGAAAAAAACATTTGCTCATGTAAGGGGCCAGAAAAATTATTTTCTCATCTAACTGCGACAATATATTATAGAAGACGCTCGAATTATTTAATGACTTCTAAAAGATGTTCAGATTACACGATATTTTTAAGAAGACAACAACGCTATTAGTTTGCATGCATGCATACATTATGAGAAAAGATACTAAATCTTTCATATACGTCTTTATGAAGACATCCAATATTCTGTACGATTTTTCTACAACACTATAAAATCCACTTCATTTATGAGAATAAATTAGAGGTTATATAAAAAATTATTTTCCTCAAAATAATATCTCAGTGATTTTACTCATTGGTATAATAATATTATTATCTCAATTAATTGAGAGTTACATGACGGACTTAAATAAATGGGACTATTCCCCAAATATTCCATTTGTTTGATTAGATGTCATCCACTTGCCCAACCTGCCTCGCATTATCCCAAAGTTCACTCCATTTTCTAACTTTCTTGATAAAATGATTTCAAATCAATAAAATTCAAATCCGAATTGATTTAAAAATAAAAATGATTTAATTTTAATTTATATAAAGGTAATGTTATTTAAAATTATAAAAATTAATAAAATTCAAATAATTAATTAACAAATATAATTAAAATATTAGGCTTAAGAGTTACTTTTGCTCATGTAGTTGACCCAATTTATCATTTTCGTTCCTATGGTATTTTCACATCGTTACTCAATTGCATCGTTGTTTAAAATATTTACTATTGTATATGGTTTCAAGTTAGGTTTTAGGGGTTATGGTTTAAGATTTAGAGTTTTAAATTAGAGTTAAGATATAGAATGATGCAATTAAATAATTTTAAGAACTAATTTGATACGTAAATACCATATAGACTAAAATAATAAACTAAATCTACTACATTAATAAAAAATAATCTTCAAGTTAAAATATTAATATAAAATAATAATTTAAATCAAATCGAATTTAAAAAATTACCTTACATGAATGGATGTCATTCTAAGAAAGTAGCACTATACGGTCACGTGGTCTTTAAACGTGTTCCACAATCATACCTTTTTTTGTGTGTTGAAGAAAAACAAAATCTGCCGACAATTCCTCAAAACAATTTTCACTTTGTATGTTCCTGTAATATTTTTTTCATGATTAATTTGAAGTTAATTTTGTTGTTGTCATTCGTTTACCTGTTTTAGTGATTTTATTAGTTTTTTATTATAATTTTTATAGGCATAATATCAAAAATAACCTCTAACGTTTATTAAAATTATCATTTTGATACTTATTTTTGAGGTGTTTTTTAGCTCCCAACGTCTCACTTCAAAAAACTCATTTTATAAATAAAAATCATATGTTAACAAACGATTAATGCTCCAAAATAAGAGTCTCTTTTAGCTTAAAATGAAACGTTGAGAGTTAAAATGTCCTAGAAAAAAAAAGAATAAACGATTAATGCTCATTCTATCAAATGTTAGGGGTCTTTTTGCCCTTAAATGAAATATTTGGAGTCAAAAATACTCCAAAAAATAGAATAACGGGTAAATAACTATTTTGATAAACGTTGATAACTAATTTTAATATTATGCTCTTCTTATATTGATTGCTGCTCGCAGTTAGCTTATAAATTGCATTTGACTTGTAACAAAGATAATTTATTAACATGTTATCATTGTTATGTCAGTGTTGATGATATATATATATATATATATATATATATTACGATAATGAAGGTGGTTTATATCTATTAAATTTTAAGGTAAATTATATGTTTAGTACTTGAACTATAATTTTGTTCCATTTTGGTACTCAAATTTTATATATTTTAAAAATCATATATAATATTTAATTTATGTTTTATTTTGGTATCCGTCGTTAAAATATTAATAGAACGATTAATGTGATATTTTTTTTCAATGATGACATGACATGACTTTATGGTGATACGTCAATACCAACATTAAATTTTTTAACTGTAAAGTATCAAAATAAAACATAAACTAAACGTTAGGTATGATTTTTGATAAAATAAAGTTCAGATATAAAACAGAAATTATACATCTAAGAAATCGACAAGAATGATACCCACCATTAGAGCGAGGAATTATCCATATTTCACTGATTAAAAAAAGATCTTTACATCATCACAAGTTGCTGAATCTTTTTCAAAAATTCACCAATAATTGTTCAAAAGTACATAAAAACGAACACATTAACAGTGCCATTGGCATGAAAAAAAATAAAACTGAAAGTCGTGTCATACTTTGATCTAGCAGTTAACTAGCAGGCTTCAATTCAAAGCCAATTGAACTGCAAAAATAATCTATTATGTGGCGATCGTTATTTAAATCTCAAACTTAAAATGGGAACTGGCGGCCGGTGTAAGTCTGACCGAAGGACCAACTCGGAGGAGCGACGTTGTATGAGAGAACACTGCGGCCGTCGCTGGCCGTAACGAGAAATGAGAGGGTTTGGCCATTAAGGTAGGCATTGCTTTGCCAGTTTTGGCCCCAGTTTCTGGACATTGGTTGCCATCTGGTCCTCGAACCTTTAATGGCGACGGAGTGAGCATCCCCGGCGCCACCAACATTGGTTACGAGCACTAAATTGAAGTAAGAATGTCCATTAATGGTGAACCTTATTCCCCCTCTTCTCCTACATCTCACCCTGCAAAAAATTAAATGAATAACACTTCATATGAATCTGATAAATTTAAAAAGACCGATCGATAGAGGTGTTAATGAACTGTTCACAAATTGTTGTTATAATGTTCGTTTATGTTGCTTTATTAAGTTAAATAAAGAACAAAATTTTATGTTCATATAATAAATAAACACAAACAAATGTGTGTTTGTTTTATTATATTAATGAATAAGCTCGTTCAAAGGTTCGTTTATCGACTCATTTATAAGTTTGTATCTATTAAAAAAGTTAGCCAATGAAAACATACACTCTTTAAACACAACTACTCAAACTCGGTTAAACCATGAACCATTTCAACCGGTCAATAAATTTGAATTAGGCAATTATGGTTACCTTCTATAAATGACTGGGACAATTCCAGATTTGTACTGAGCAATGTGTTGGAAGATAGGCTGAGAGAGATCAAAGTGGTGATTAGGAGGGTCGCACCACCCACCCGGCGGGCAGAAGTTAGTGGCGGTGACCACAATTGAACCAGGCAGACACCATTTAGGGTCATTGACACACCTTAGCTCATAACATGCGCCACAACTCAACCCATTGTCGAACAACGCACTACTCAATGCTGCCGTATTAACACCGTATCCTTGGCTATACAGGTTCCCATACCCACATGCTCCACCTAGAACACAACTTCCAAAATATCAACCTTTAATTGATTAATCTGGTTCGAGTACGACATAAACTCAAAATGAGAACTATCTTTTTAACTCAGTTTATTCTCTATTTAGAAACGTCAGGTCAAATTCTAACTTTATTTAAAGAATTTTAGTGTCTTGCCTCATTAGATCAAATTAAGAAAATGTGAGATTGTGAGATGAAGATTGAAATGTATGTACCCATTGTGCCGGAAGCATCACCGCCGCCGTAGAATGTGGCATGGGCATTGATCCATGGTCCATGATAGCCGCCACGGTGGGGATGAATGGCGTGGTGAGGATGGTTCCATGGAAAAGCATGGACGGAGTTGCTGACTTGAAGAAGTAATAGAGCAGAAACAGGAAGAAGAAGAAGCATAAACCCCAAAAGCACCATTTCCCTGCACATGAGAAACACAAGCACATTCAAGCACTGCAACATTAAACATCAAACTCCATTAAAGTAAAATGGAAAGGTGAAGGGAGGAATGAACCTTGAAAAGTGTTGTTTATGGAAATGAAGGGTGATTGAAGGGGAACTAAATAGAGGGCAGTCAAAATCAAACCATTTGAGCTGTTGGGACCAAGACACTGTAATTGTGTGTGGGGGGGGGGGGTATGCCAAGTTTGTGTAAAATAAATGGAGTTTCCTTTTCTTTTGCTCAATGGTATATGGACCACCATGTATGAAACGTGCATTATTACGTCAATATCATAACAGTTAATCATAATTTTTACCGGTTAAAAGGTTATATTAAAATAAAGTTTTTATTTTTGTTCTCATTAGTCTTTTTTTTTCCTTTAATAAGATCTATCGTCTTTCTTTATAAAATAAAGTTTCATTAGTTGATTTCATACTTAAGGGATCATAGACCAATGTAAAGGTTGACTTCATGGCTAAATTGACTGACTCACAAGAGGATTCTTTTACGATTTTTAATTAGTTTTCGGTTTATTTACTTGAAATTTTAGTTAGAGATATTTTTTACTCTTCTTATAGACGCATACGATATTGATGTACTGACTTTGACCTCATTCTTTAAGTATTGTAGCTCCTGATGTTTCAATTTTTTTGTCAAAATGATCCCTATTGGATAGAAAGTCGTTAACTGACTAACAATTAATGCATGTTTCTACCGTGTTATTTTCATATGTGTTTACTTATTGATGTATCTAATATCATGCCACGACATTATGTTATGTGGCACGTGCCATGCAATCGTCTTGGGTGATGTTGCACAAGTCATGTCATCACCTTAAGTGAGGTGGTACATATCAAGTCAATAATTTAACAAATGTAAAAGTATTATATCAATAATATTTATTGATCATTAACTAACGATTTCCATTCAACATAAGTCATTTAACCAAAATTTAGAACGTTAAGGACTAAAACGTTAAAAGAAGAATATCGATTAAAATAACTATTCTAAAAATATTGAAAGTTTTGAGGGAGTTAAAAAGGAGTAGATATTAATGGGAGGGGACAAGTTAGGTTTTAGGGGTTATGATTTAAGATTTAGAGTTTTAAATTAGAGTTAAAATATAGAATGATGCAATTAAATAATTTTAAGAACTAATTTGATACGTAAATACCATATAGACTAAAATGATAAACTAAATCTACTACATCAATAAAAAATAATCTTCAAGTCAAAATATTAATATAAAATAATAATTTAAATCGAATCGAATTTAAAAAATTACCTTACATGAATGGATGTCATTCTAAGAAAGTAGCACTCTTTAAACGTGTTCCACAATCATACCTTTTTTTGTGTGTTGAAGAAAAACAAAATCTGCCGACAATTCCTCAAAACAATTTTCACTTTGTATGTTCTTGTAATATTTTTTTCATGATTAATTTGAAGTTAATTTTGTCGTTGTCATTCGTTTACCTGTTTTAGTGATTTTTATTAGTTTTTTATTCTAATTTTTATAGGCATAATATCAAAAATAACCCTAAACATTTATTAAAATTATCATTTTGATACTTATTTTTGATGTGTTTTTTAGCCCCCAACGTCTCACCACAAAAAGCTCATTTTATAAATAAAAATCATAAGTTAACAAGCGATTAATGCTCTAAAATAAGTGTATTTTTTAACATAAAATAAAACGTTGAGAGTTAAAATGTCCTAAAAAAAAGAATAAATAATTAATGCTCATTCTATCAAATGTTAGGGGTCTTTTTGCCCTTAAATGAAACGTTTGGAGTCAAAATACTCCAAAAAATATAATAACGGGTAAATGACTATTTTGATAAACGTTGATAACTAATTTTAATATTATGCTCTTCTTATATTGATTGCTGCTCGCAGTTAGCTTATAAATTGCATTTGACTTGTAACAAAGATAATTTATTAACATGTTATCATTGTTATGTCAGTGTTGATGATATATATATATATATATTACGATAATGAAGGTGGTTTATATCTATTAAATTTTAAGGTAAATTATATGTTTAGTACTTGAACTATAATTTTGTTCCATTTTGGTACTCAAATTTTATATATTTTTAAAATCATACATAATATTTAATTTATGTTTTATTTTGGTATCCGTTGTTAAAATATTAATAGAACGATTAATGTGATATTTTTTTACAATGATGATATGACATGACCTTATGGTGATACGTCAATACCAACATTAAATTTTTTAACTGTAAAGTACCAAAATAAAATATAAACTAAACGTTAGGTATGATTTTTGAGAAAATAAAGTTCAGATATAAAACAGAAATTATACATCTAAGAAATCGACAAGAATGATACCCACCATTAGAGCGAGGAATTATCCATATTTCACTGATTAAAAAAAGATCTTTACATCATCACAAGTTGCTGAATCTTTTTCAAAAATTCACCAATAATTGTTCAAAAGTACATAAAAACGAACACATTAACAGTGCCATTGGCATGAAAAAAATAAAACTAAAAGTCGTGTCATACTTTGATCTAGCAGTTAACTAGCAGGCTTCAATTCAAAGCCAATTGAACTGCAAAAATAATCTATTATGTGGCGATCGTTATTTAAATCTCAAACTTAAAATGGGAACTGGCGGCCGGTGTAAGTCTGACCGAAGGACCAACTCGGAGGAGCGACGTTGTATGAGAGAACACTGCGGCCGTCGCTGGCCGTAACGAGAAATGAGAGGGTTTGGCCATTAAGGTAGGCATTGCTTTGCCAGTTTTGGCCCCAGTTTCTGGACATTGGTTGCCATCTGGTCCTCGAACCTTTAATGGCGACGGAGTGAGCATCCCCGGCGCCACCAACATTGGTTACGAGCACTAAATTGAAGTAAGAATGTCCATTAATGGTGAACCTTATTCCCCCTCTTCTCCTACATCTCACCCTGCAAAAAATTAAATGAATAACACTTCATATGAATCTGATAAATTTAAAAAGACCGATCGATAGAGGTGTTAATGAACTGTTCACAAATTGTTGGTATAATGTTCATTTATGTTGCTTTATTAAGTTAAATAAAGAACAAAATTTTATGTTCATATAATAAATAAACACAAACAAATGTGTGTTTGTTTTATTATATTAATGAATAAGCTCGTTCGAAGGTTCGTTTATCGACTCATTTATAAGTTTGTATCTACTAAAAAAGTTAGCCAATGAAAACATACACTCTTTAAACACAACTATTCAAACTCGGTTGAACCATGAACCATTCCAACCGGTCAATAAATTTGAATTAGGCAATTATGGTTACCTTCTATAAATGACTGGGACAATTCCAGATTTGTACTGAGCAATGTGTTGGAAGATAGGCTGAGAGAGATCAAAGTGGTGATTAGGAGGGTCGCACCACCCACCCGGCGGGCAGAAGTTAGTGGCGGTGACCACAATTGAACCAGGCAGACACCATTTAGGGTCATTGACACACCTTAGCTCATAACATGCGCCACAACTCAACCCATTGTCGAACAACGCACTACTCAATGCTGCCGTATTAACACCGTATCCTTGGCTATACAGGTTCCCATACCCACATGCTCCACCTAGAACACAACTTCCAAAATATCAATCTTTAATTGATTAATCTGGTTCGAGTACGACATAAACTCAAAATGAGAACTATCTTTTTAACTCAGTTTATTCTCTATTTAGAAACGTCAGGTCAAATTCTAACTTTATTTAAAGAATTTTAGTGTCTTGCCTCATTAGATCAAATTAAAAAAATGTGAGATTGTGAGATGAAGATTGAAATGTATGTACCCATTGTGCCGGAAGCATCACCGCCGCCGTAGAATGTGGCATGGGCATTGATCCATGGTCCATGATAGCCGCCACGGTGGGGATGAATGGCGTGGTGAGGATGGTTCCATGGAAAAGCATGGACGGAGTTGCTGACTTGAAGAAGTAATAGAGCAGAAACAGGAAGAAGAAGAAGAAGCATAAACCCCAAAAGCACCATTTCCCTGCACATGAGAAACACAAGCACATTCAAGCACTGCAACATTAAACATCAAACTCCATTAAAGTAAAATGGAAAGGTGAAGGGAGGAATGAACCTTGAAAAGTGTTGTTTATGGAAATGAAGGGTGATTGAAGGGGAACTAAATAGAGGGCAGTCAAAATCAAACCATTTGAGCTGTTGGGACCAAGACACTGTAATTGTGTGTGGGGGGGGGGGGGGGTATGCCAAGTTTGTGTAAAATAAATGGAGTTTCCTTTTCTTTTGCTCAATGGTATATGGACCACCATGTATGAAACGTGCATTATTACGTCAATATCATAACAGTTAATCATAATTTTTATCGGTTAAAAGGTTATATTAAAATAAAGTTTTTATTTTTGTTCTCATTAGTTTTTTTTTTCCTTTAATAAGATCTATCGTCTTTCTTTATAAAATAAAGTTTCATTAGTTGATTTCATACTTATGGGATCATAGACCAATGTAAAGGTTGACTTCATGGCTAAATTGACTGACTCACAAGAGGATTCTTTTACGATTTTTAATTAGTTTTCGGTTTATTTACTTGAAATTTTAGTTAGAGATATTTTTACTCTTCTTATAGACGCATACGATATTGATGTACTGACTTTGACCTCATTCTTTAAGTATTGTAGCTCCTGATGTTTCAATTTTTTTGTCAAAATGATCCCTATTGGATGGAAAGTCGTTAATTGACTAATAATTAATGCATGTTTCTAACGTGTCATTTTTATATGTATTTACTTATTGATGTATCCAATATCATGCCACCACATTAGGTTATGTGGCACGTGCCATGCAATCGCCTTGGGTGATGTTGCACAAGTCATGTCATCACCTTAAGTGAGGTGGTACATATCAAGTCAATAATTTAACAAATGTAAAAATATTATATCAATAATATGTATTGATCATTAACTAACGATTTTCATTCAACATAAGTTATTTAACCAAAATTTAGAATGTTAAGGACTAAAACGTTAAAAAAAAGAATATCGATTAAAATAACTATTCTAAAAATATTGAAAGTTTTGAGGGAGTTAAAAAGGAGTAGATATTAATGGGAGGGGACAAGTGCACGGACGAAGAAATGAAATTGTGAATCTTTTAAACTGTTTGATGGTTGAAGTGAATCCTTTTAACGCGTCAGCAACACAATCATAATTGCCTTCTTCTGAAGCACAATATTTTGATGATGTAAACACAAAAAGTAGTATTCAAATATCATTGAGTTCAACTCGATTTGAAAATTTTAAATTTAGACTTGGTTTAACTGGAAAGCTCGCAAACTTAAAACTTTTAAGTTTGACTCGAAATCAAAAATTAAAGCTCAACTCGAGCTCGAAACATTATCAGACTTAACTTAATTAAAGCTCAAACTCAAGCTTGAACTTAAATCTTAAGTACATGAAAGCCTTATATTGTATTTTTTTAAAAACAACACCACCTAAATGTTAATATTATTAATAATTTAATTTTTAAAAATAAAATTTAATATGTTATTTTTTCGAGTTACTCGCGAACTTTTCGAGTCGAGTATCAAGTAACTCGTTTCGGCTTATTAAGAACTCGAGTCGAACTCATTCGATTGGAGTGTTGATCAAGCCTTGACCGAGTCCATCTCGAGTAACTTGCGATCCTTCTCATCTCATTTACATCCATAGTAGTATTTGTTCATAATCTTTCTTAATTATTGACAATGCATACGTACTGTAAACGTAACTGCTTAAATCCAGAACTTTAAAAATAAATAACATTTTTAATCACTGAGGGCACCCAACAAATGAATTTATATATATAAATTCATTCTTTATTATCGTTAGATCATTATCGGTCATCGTTTGTGTTATAATTGATATTGTGATGTTCTCTTTTTTTTCTCGATTTATTTTCTTACAATTAAAAAAGGTCAAATAAAATAATTCAAGTTTAAAATAAGATAATTTATTCCCTTAATGTTATATCATAATTTTGTTCTTAATCTTTTTTAAAAAATATTTTCATATATTTAAAACATATATTACATATGGATATTCAGATATTATAAAGTAAAATTAAGGAGTAGAAATAACGAAGACATTGAAAGTGAGAGTGGCTGCAACATTGGTGCATGATAGAGACATGAATGGCAGTGCAAGATACCCATAGATACATGATAGAGACATGGATGGATACCTATAGATGCATGATAGAGACATGGATGGACACCCATAGATGCATGTGCTCATTAATTTCTGTCTTGGAAATGCATGTGCAACCAAATGACTTCATATCAAACAATGACCCAACCTAACAACTAATGTGTCAATGACAACTCCCAACTATGTCACTATGGTAAAAAAATATATCATAAAGTTAACATGATACTTCCACATCCGTATACGTAAACGAGAAAAATGAAACTCATTTAGTAGAAAAATTACGGTCTTATAATGTTAATTTCTGAATTTTATTGTTTTTTTAGGTCCTCTTAATTCTGAAACTAGTCAAATTAAACCTTGACATATCACTTTTTTTATTAAAATAATTTTTCCATCACTTTGGATTTTAAAATTAAACAGATTACATCATATTCCTTTTATTTTTAAATTTATATCGATAGCTTAACAATTAAAAATTCGAACCATCTAATATTTTTATTTATTTCTGAAATTTTATCCCGACTCTATTTCTATGTGTTAGCAAATGTTTCAAATGGACCCATGTCATATGCATACATGCTAAAAAGAAACATTAAGCATAAGCTTAAGTTAAACAAGCTTTAGAGTTTAGTTAATTTGAGGGCAGACCAAAGGGTAAATCATGTCATTTATGTCTTACGCCATTCTATATTCATTGTGAAAAATACTTTATAATAAAGAGGTCCCCTCTTCCTCTATTTATAAGTATTTTTTATTTTGAATATTCTTGATGATTATGATGTAATATATGTTCGTAATTTTCTTAATCAATGGACAACATACATACATCCTTTTATCACTGAGATTACTTGATATGTTTTGTACGTGCCTTTTTTTTTTTAAGAAAAGAAGAATATAAGAATAGACATGAATAGCATGATGGTTCGATTTCAATGTCTATGTAGAACATGAAAGGCCTATGTGTATGAAGCTTAATGTGGTCCTTGGTATCGTGGGGTAGGTTTCTATTGGTAGATTAAAATATTTTAGTATGTTACAAGACAATCAGCTAAAAGTAAAAGGATTAATGGTTTTTAAAGCTCTCGGATTCTTTTTACTATTAGAAATCATCATTGATTATTATGATACTAATATGTTAGTTCAGAATGAGATATGATGTGATAGGAAATAATTTTTTTATTATTTTAAAAGATTTAAAGACTTAATTGATTTTTTTTTAAAAGAAAGTTCAAAAATTTATTTATTTTCAAGAAAAATTAAAACAGTTTTAAATTTAAAATATTAAAATATTTTGTATATCTAAATATCTCTAAATTATTAAAATAATATTATAAAGTGAAATAACATTTTAGTTGAGTGACTAAATTATAATTTCCTTAAAAATAATGACGGTAGTTATCAGGATGAGCTAGGTGTATTTTTGCCCAAACAAACTTAATTTTCAGTCAGTTTGATAGGGACCATCATCGTTTAGATGCAAATTGCATGATCACGCCTGTGTACCTGGAGGTGATGGAGGGACCATCTTCGTTTCAAAGCCGAAACGATTTGCGAAAATGGTTGCAGAAGAATCTAAATGCATGAAAACATGACTTCTACTTTGGTTTACTGGTTCATTCGAATGTAAGCTCCTTTTACATCCAATAATGGAAACGGTTTCAGAATTATATATTAAAAAAAAAGGTACAAAAAGAAAAGCCAACAAAAAAATTAACTCAAAGGGTCAGATTGCATATCAAGAGATCCAATTTCAAATCATTTCGACTCGGAAGACGTAAAGACGATGATCATTGACCATAATAAGGAGGCTGACCTGGAGGTGGTGCACCACCGGGCCTAACATTTGCCCCTGGCGGTGCCATTCCCATGGAAGACACACCCGGTCGAAGAAGGGGTGATGAACCAGCAGGTGGTGCAGCGTTCATATATGCAGAGACTGCAGACGATTGATATGCGTGACCAGGAACGGTTCTGGGAACAGATCCATATGGTGGCCTAGCCTGTAAACTTGGATCCCAAGCTGGGACTTGTCCCGCAGAGGGTTGAGCTTGAATTGCAGCTGAAGTTGCATAGTCAGTCCCAGGGTACAGTGGAGCACTCTGAGGATTCTGCCAAACATTTGAAGCATTTGAAGCGGAGGGCATACCGGGAACTTGTGACGCAAGCAAACTTAGGTCCGGGATCGTGTAATCTCTACTTTTATCACTGTAGGCCTGTGCGGCAAAAGTGAAACTAATCAAGAATCACATGTAGTGAATGTGTGTCGAGCCAAATAATAGAACTAAATTAGCAGGTAAGATTCGTAAACAAGTGTCGAGAAGCATACATTTAAGGGTTCATATCCTCTCTTTTATGGAAAAATGGATCGCCTTTATCTTCTAAAGAGGTCGTTAATTTATTTTTCTTCATTCCTTTTTCTTATGAATACTAACTCAAAACCACATATTTATACCTTTACATTGAGATCAGTATGACGAGAGTATGATAGATGAAGCTTACAATAGCCACCATCATATATGCAATGTCCCTCTAAGGATTCTTTGGCGACGGCAGCGGTCATGACATCTGAATGTAACAAATTCTATGTCATTAAAGCTACCAAAATATCTAACAAAATAAAACATACATGCGTCATCATCATAATAATAATAATTTCAGGTTGTAAGATGTCTGAGTCCACACACATAGAAATGCAACAAAATTTCAAAAGAAAGCAATGTCAAAGGAAAGATGCTATAATCATATATAAATAAAATAGGCACGCACACACGCGCTATATGAAGAAGAAAATGGAACAAAATATCTGGATCTCATCTTTCAAATAAAGAGGGTCGAGGTGCCA